ACCGTGTGTGGCCACCAGGGGTCAGCAGCGCGCCGCCCGCCGCAGGTGCCGCCGCCACAGGTGCCGCAGGTGCCGCAGGTGCCGAAGGTGCGGGCCGCAAGCATCGCCTTTGCTTTCAGACTCCTTCCTCAGGGCACTTCCCACCAAACGACGGTCCCCGGGGGCGGGGGCGGAGGACCCTGGACAAAGGCTCTGGGCAAGAATCCGTTCCTCCGGGGCCACAGGAAGCCGAGGCCAAGGGAAGCCAGGGGTCACGGGAGGGGTCAGCCTGTCCCCCGAGGGCTGATGCGTCCCGGCCTCATGGAGCCAGAACAGGGGTGAAGCGGCTGTCGTGGGTGGGTTAGGGGTTGAGCAGTGCGAACCCCACCCTCAGAGAACTGACCCAGGCCCACCAGGGTGATGGACCCCTGACAGGAGAGAAAACAGCCCCGTATTGTAGGGTGAGCACTGAGGCAAGACTCAGGAGCCTGCTATCACCTGCTGTGTGACCTGGGAGAGTTACTGACCCTCTCTGGGCCCCAGTTGAGCCCTCTGTCCCTCAGAGAGGGTAGATAAAATGATCTTTAGGCCTCTCCCCGCTCTGATATTCTGTGAATCTAAAACTTTCAGTCCTCCCACCCCTTCGCCTCTGGGAGGTCTGGCTGGACTGGGCAGACCTCATCTCCTAACATACGGTCTCCGGACAGTCCCCAAGGAAAGGCCCTTTGGGAGGTTGGATCCTGGCCACCCTGAAGGAGGAAGAGGAGGAGGCTCTTGGCTGAAAAGCCTGGACCCCGTGGAGCCCAGCATCTCTGCCCCAGCCGCACCATCGGCGGGGAGAATCGGGAGCTACAGACGCTTCTCAGCGCAAAGCCCGTCTGAAATCGCTGCCTGTCCCCACCGTGGTCCCAGATCCCACACCTCCGACGTACGCGCTTCGGGACGCAGAAGAAAGAACAAAGAAGGTTACATTATTTTAGGATGACTGCTAATTAAAGTAGCATGTATTATGTATGTGAAAGTAATATTTATAATCTAGCAAGCTGACTTAATTTCGGCCGATAGATGCATCTACACGTAGCCAGACCTCAAGGAGTCCAGTCTTGCAAGAGGCATGGCTCCCATCAGTGCTTCAAACTCCTGACCTGGGGAGAGGGACATTTGGGAATCTGGACAAGGTGGCTGAGATGCGCCACAGAATCCTATTCTGGTGAGCTTTAAAGATTAAACAGTCAGGTCTTCCTGAGGAAGTTCCGGGCAGCACCTGATAACCGACCGATCGATCAGAGAAAGTTCTTCTTACAGCAGAATGGCAGCTCATACATACGGGAGAAACGGTAGAGCCAGAAAAACCACCATTTGCTGGTTGTCTCTTCCAGATATTTTCTACAGCACCTTACATGCCCTTCCTATTATGTGACCTTGACCATCTCCCATCAGAAAGCAAGGTCTCTCCCCCTCCTCTTGAAACCGGAAGGGTTTAGCCTAGAGAGATATGACCCAAGAGTATGGCAGATGTGATGCCAGGGGACTTCCAAGGTTATATCAGAAAAGGCAATAGAACTTCTGCTTCCCTGAACACGTACTCTTGAAGCCTTCGGCCGCCATGCTGTGCGAAAGCCCACCCGGGCCTGTGCAGAGACCCCTGGCTGAGGCGGGAGGCTGTGTGGAGACAAGGAGGTCCCGGCCAGCCCCCAGCCGCTCCCACCCCTCCAACTCACGAGAGAGATGGAACTGCCGCAAACAGAACTGCCCAGCTGGGCCCACCCCAAATCCCGAACCCACAGAAACCGTGAGAGACAATACGTCTTATTGCTTTCTTAAGCCACTAAATTTCGGGATAATTTACTATGCAGCACTAGGTAACTGAAACAGCCACGAGGGGAGTAATAGTCTCGTTTCAGACACTAAACCTCAGTGGATGCACATTCTCTCTTGCCTAAAGCTAATTTCTCATCAGAGTTCAGCGTCATTTCTCCTTCCTTTTATTCTAGGATCTTCTGATTATCATCTTTTTCATTTATGTTTTCAGTTGCTCAGGACAGTGGGCAATGTGTGCCTTTCATCACAGAAAGAGGAAACAGAGTTTACATGTGCATTTGTTTATTTTGTACAAAGAAACACAAGAAGCTGATAAACATGGTTTATTTATTTATGTTTAGAGTTCTTTGTACTATTCTTGCTACTTTTCTGAAGTTTCACATTATTTCAAGATTATAAGATTAAATGTTCCATGGTTTTCCCTGAGGTTGGATCCCAACTTCTAAACTGCTGGGAAAGGGGATGATTCACATCTCCAACGGCATTCCCTCAGTTGGATCTTCCAGAACCGCCCCCCACCCCAAGCTGTCCTGGATGGAAGCAAAACTCCAGGACCCGGAGGCCAGGCCAGGGCACCCATCGCGGGCCAGACGATGGGGACTCTGGTTTTCCAGCCCAGACCATTCATCTGACAAAGGAGAACAAAGGATTTGAACTCACTCTAAAAACAAATAGATACAGACTCCAGGAGTTCAAATCACAAAAGGTGTTTTGTGAACAGGAGGTTTTGCTACAGATTTCCTTTAAAGAAACAGCGAGCTCCCGGGTGCAGCAAGGTTTTGCTTACAAGAATTCAACTAACACAAGTTTTCCCCGAAGACCTGTATGTCAGGGCCCCTCTGGGAAGTCACAGGAGGAGTGAGTGAAACAAGTTTTACCTTCTCTGCCCAACGCAGAACCCCGGGGGCCACGGCTCCTCCCTCCTGGCGAGTCCCAGTCTGGCTCTGCTGGTGTTTCTCTTTCTCTGCTGGGACTCTGCCTGTTGAACCGGCATGAAGGCACCACAGCTGGTTAGTTTTCCCAAATCAGAGACCCTACGCTCCCGGGAGACCCCCATGACTGTGGCAGCTTGCTACCGAAGCCCGTTCTGCTAAGTTCCATTGTCACCATTCATTGAATCCAAGTCAGCTCAGTTGGGACCCGTGTGCCCCCTGCTGGGATTGGTTAAGGCCATGAATCAAGGGCATCTGGTTCCCTCTGGATACCAGCCGGTGGTTGAACACCTTACTCAGCAAGGCTGTCCCAGCACCGGGAGCCAGGACCCAGGGGGAGGGTGGGCTTCACCGCACCCACAGGGCACTTGTAATGACTTCTTTGGTTCTCCTTCGCAGCCTGGGGCCACGTGAGGCCAGGACCAGCTCCTCGCCTACCTTCTCCCAGAGACCAGGCTGGGAGCCAGGACCCGACCTCAGCTCAGCACGAACAGGGCACGTCCGTTCTTGCAACACAGTGTTTATTGGGGGCTGACTGAGCACGGGCTGGGCTCTGGGCTCGCGGTGGACGTGAACCGGTCATTCGTGCCTGTCCACGGGGAGATGACGGCGTGGGGGAGGGCGGCCCTGCAGAACTAAATACGTGGTCATTACACATCACGGTGGGGTGAGAGGGAAGAACAAGGTGTCCCAAGGGAGAAGCCTTTCCTTTTTTTTTTTTTTTTTTTTTTTGCGGTACGCGGGCCTCTCACTGCTGTGGCCTCTCCCGCTGCGGAGCACAGGCTCCGGACGCGCAGGCCCAGCGGCCACGGCTCACGGGCCCAGCCGCTCCGCGGCACGTGGGATCCTCCCGGACCGGGGCACGAACCCACGTCCCCTGCATCGGCAGGCGGACTCTCAACCACTGCGCCACCAGGGAAGCCCGGGAGAAGCCTTTCTGAAACAAGGTCATGAAGCCCGAGGGTGACAGGAGTGAGACACAAGCAGGAGAAGCAGCATTCCCGGCAGAGACCCAGGGAGACCCTGGGGCGGGCAGAGCTCGGGACACCGAGGCTGGAGCCCCGTGCGGGGCGGAATGGAGTGGGAGGGACCCCGGCTCACAGGGTGCTACGTGCCCGGTGGGGACAGGAGTTTCCTAAGTGCACAGACTTATCACAGTGGAGGACCCTGGTTTAATTTAACTTTTTTTAAAAAATAAATTTGTTTATTTATTTTATTTATTTTTGGCTGCGTTGGGTCTTCGTTGCTGCGCACGGGCTTTCTCTAGTTGCGGCGAGCAGACGTTACTCTTCATTGCGGTGCGCGGGCTTCTCGTTGCGGTGGCTTCTCTTGCTGTGGAGCACGGGCTCTAGGCGTGCGGGCGTCAGTAGTTGTGGCTCACGGGCTCAGTAGTTGTGACTCACAGGGCCTAAAGCGTGGGCTCAGTAGTTGTGGCGCACGGGCTTAGGTGCTCCGCAGCATGTGGGATCTTCCCGGACCAGGGCTCGAACCCGTGTCCCCTGCATTGGCAGGCAGATTCTTAGCCACTGCGCCACCAGGGAAGCCCCTAATTTAACTTTAAACAGTCATTGCTCTGGGAGAACGAGCTGGAAAGGGCAAAGAGAAGAGAGAGAGCAGCTAGGGACTGTTGGGAGTCAGGCCAGAGTGCATACGGGCGGCTGGAGGGCAGGCAGCGGCGCTGGGGGGAGGGTCGGTGAACAGGGGCAGCAAGAACTCCTCTGACAACCTCTGTGCCGCGTGGACGGACATGCCAGTCACTGAGACGCCTGGGAGGGAAGCGTTGCTCGGAGCCGGTCTCCGAGGCTCCTGTGGGCCATCGAGTGTATCGATTGGGAATCATCCACAGGTTTGGGAATCATCAACAAGTATGCGGTTTCTAAAGGGAAGGAGTGGACGAGACCGCCCAGGAGAAGCGTGTGGAGTGAAGAGAGAAAAGGGGAGGGAAGCAGCGGAGACAAAGGCGCAGGGCTGAGCTGAGGGACGCCCACCCGGGATCAGGCCGAGAGGAGCTCGGGGACGGGGGCGCCCCCGGGAGCTGCGGCCGGAGGGAAGCAGGAACCCGAGGGGGTGTGTCACCAAGGCCGAGGGAGGACATTCCACGAGGTGTGTGGGGTCCACGGATGAGGGCTCTGAGAGTTTGGGCAAGGTGGAGGCTGAGGGTGGCCTTCGCAGGTCGGTTCTGGTAAAGAGGCGGAGGGGACTTCCCTGGGTTCCAGACCGGCGGAGAGAAGGTGCAGAGGCAGCGGGTGACAGACGGCCGTCTCCTCACTAGGGGCCCCTTGCCAGCTGGGCCACAAACTCCTGCCACCTCTCCTCCCAGGTTGCCATGGCAAACAGTTTCTCCGGCTCCGACAGGGCGCTGTACCTGCGGGGGAGGGGCGCCCGGGTCAGCCTGGGGAGGGGCGGGAGGGGACCTCGGATGCTGGCAGCGCACCATGTCCCCAGCCCGAGAGCAGTCACAGGATAGGAGACGACGCGGAGAAGCGCACGGAAATCTCCGGGCCTCAGCCCAAACCTTGGAGCGGTCAACACAGGCGGTGACCGAAGAGAACACGTACACTCACCTGATGGAGTTCATGGCCAGCTGTCTGAGTGTCCTCAGGTCGGCTGTCATCCCCCCGATGCCCATGAAGGCCTCCTAGAAATCATAGGACAAGCCTTTGGCTCCAAAAGTAGCGGGGTCATCAGAGCTGATGACCATGGGGTACCCGGTGGCCATCAGCACAGCTGCAGAGTGGTTTCTTAGGTCAGACACCAGCTTCAGAACCTGCCCAGTCAGAGACAACCGTGCATCCATGAAGAGCCGTCACGAGGAAGGTGAGGCCGTGAGTTTAATCGGGCCTTGCCATCCCCGTCACTGTTCCGAGCATCGGGACTCTGGGCGGTCCTGACGCAGGAAGAGCTGGTCCTCCCACGATTCCTCGTTTTCTCCACAAACATCTGGTCTCTCTTGGTCCTGCTCGCAGCAGCTGTCCTAAGCACAAAGCCCCAAGCAGCTGCGCGGCAGTGGGACCCCACACTACCCGCTGCGTGTCCGTCCCAGGCCCCTTTAGCTTTGCCATAGCTTGACCCGCAATCCCGCCCCACTGGGGACCCTCATTACTATGAATGGTTTAGGCAAAGTGCATTCCTACTTAACTTCACGAACGGGAGTGAGAGAGTGGAGGGACAGAGAAACCAAGGGAGTTAACGGAGAGATTACGCAGGAGAAAGGTTGGTCGTGGCTGGGGCAGGAGAGGGCCCTCCGCTGGCCCCAGGGAGCCTGCGCACCTGGTTGGAGATGGGACAGACCTCGACGGGGATGTCCTTCCGAGCCTCAGCCCAGACGGCCGGGCGTTTGCTCAAAGCAAACCCATGGCCAATCCTGGTCGAGTTCAGTAACAGGGCATCCAGAACGTTTCTGTCCGCAGAGGTGCCCCGCCAGTCTGGGAATAAAGGGGGCGGGTCCTTCAGTAGGATGGATGGGACCCACAGACCATCTGCAGGTGACGGTCCCGGACTCCCCAAGCAGGAAAAGGAAGAGAAATGACCATTCACACAAAAGCGCACACGCGCACACGTTTTCCTTATGACAATGCTGAAGAGAGGCACGGCCTGCCTATAGGTACGTACGTATGTGTGTACGTATGTAACAGCTGAGGAGGTTGAAACCCACACAGGCTTTATAAACTCAAGCAAGGTCCTCAGGTAGGAAACAGCAAAACCGGGTTTCAAGCCTTGGTCTACCTGACCCACCGCCCATATTCTTTCTTTCCATTTTACGTCTGTTTCCAGAGCTGTTTTCTGGGAACTTCATGTGTAGGACCCTCTACAGTGTGCTGCAGACTCGGTCACTGTAATGATTTGTACGAACAGGCTTCCCGCTGGCAGGGCCTCGCTGGAGGTGAGAATGGCGGTTCGGACTCTGCCAGCCTGGGGAGGGAGGGTGCGGGTGAGGACTCCTGAAGCTTCACCCCAGCACAAGGAGGTGCCCTGGAGGAAACAGCTCCTCTCTGGTCACGCCTGGTTGTGACTTCGTATCTGTGGCCAAGTGGGGTGAAATCCCGGACCCAGAAAGAAAGCAGAGGCTGCTTATTGCGGGAGATCACAGAAGACCTAATTGTGAGACCCGGGTGTGAGGGCCCCAGGCCTGGAAAAGCATCCTGACTGATTCACATGGGAAATGTGAAAACTCCACTTTTCTGTTGGGAATGAAACCCAAGTATTCCCACTGCTGGTGAGGGCATGTGTGCTTCAGGTGGATTTTCACCAGTTTCCTAACTAACACTTCTTTTCAAAGATTTTTTTTCTTTTTAACTAAAGGTATTAAATACCCAAGTCCTGGCGAAATCCTCTCCTAGGACCATGCGTCTTGGAATTGAGATGATTTCACAGAGGTGAGTATGATTTTCCCAACCAAACCACGTGCTCTTCAAGGCTAATGCCCCCCCCTACACACACCATCCCCACTTCCCCACCCCCACAAACAATTCTTTAAATCTCCTAGAACAGCTTGGATCTAAATGGACTTGAAAATAATGTCAGGAAAAAGAGATTAACGCGGGATTTCCCTGGCGGGACTTCCCTAGTGGTCCAGTGGTTAAGACTCCACGATCCCTGGTAGGGGAGCTAGATCCCGCATGCCGCATGGCAAAACTAAGAGTCCGCGTGCCGCAACTAAGAGCTCGCGCGCCACAACTAAGACCCGGGGCAGCCTAAATAAATAAATAAATAAGAGATTAGTGCACAGGAGCCTTCCTCTGAGAAATGATGTGAGACACCAAGGTTTAAGCCTGGCTATGAAATCCCAGCTCCCAGGGCTCTGCCCTTGTCTCCTAGGTCTTCTCGGGTGGCAGGAGCGTAAGGTGCTCTGAGGGGTGCCAGTCGGGATGCAGCAGGTCTAAGCCCCCCAGATCTTCCCTGGGACCTGGTACTGCTTCTGCTGAGGGTCGACATGTTTTATTTAAGGTCTGGAATGTCTGGAGGCTGAGCGATGATCAGTGAGCCCGTGGACTGAGCTTTGAGGAGCAGAGACATGGCTGGGCGGATGGCATTTCAGAAACAAGTGCAGCCAGGCTGCCTGAGTGGGGTGGGGTCCCCACTTCAGCCTGCTGGACGTGGACAGTGCCTCCCGGACGTGGTGCTGGTCTGGTGGTCCCTCTCCCACCACCTCCCGGTGTGCCACTTTGCAGGTGAGTCGACCTCGAAAGCACAGTTCATGCCGTATAAAAAGGAGATCATCAGAAAGGTTCCCCGCTCCTTACCGTGGACCAATTACCGTGTTTGGCTGGAGCCTTGGGCTCCTCACCTGTAAATGGGGGTAAAAACGCCCTCCTGACAGGACCGGCTGAGAGCTATGAATAATATATGTGAAGGGCAGCTGCCCCAGTATCACTGTCCCTCCTTCTCACTGTCCCTCCTTCTCTGGGCGTTGCTGTCAGGACAGATGTGATAATGTACGTGAAAGGGACAGGTGCCGCGAGACGCCTTGGGGCTGTCAGTCCACTTCCTGGTGTCCCGTCCGTGCCCTCGGAGATGGCCAGGGCCCCTGCCTATCACCCCCTCTGTCCCCGACGGGGTCATAGGCTCACCTGTCTCTCCGGCGTGGAAGAGGTAAGGCAGCTTAATGCCCCGCGAGGCTGGAATCATCAAAACCTCCTTGTAGTCTACAGGGAGTGGCCCGTGTCCTCTCGCCCCACCTGCAGAACAGAGTGGGGGACCTTGCTGGTGTGCCCTGCAGCCCTGTACCTGCCAGCACTGCTGAGGCCTCAGGCACACAGCCTTTTGAGAGGGACCAGTAGCAGGACTGGGAAAGAAAAAGAGAGCACGTTGCCCCGAAACAACTCCCCCCTTATTCAGAGGCTGTACCTCGACCCTCCCGGCCTTTGCGTGGTGTCCTGCACACGGCCTTCCCAGCCCTGCACTCCAGCCCCAGCTTCTTGTCGGGGGGAGAGAGAGACTCAGAGAGACACAGAGACAGAGACAGAGAGGGCAGGAGAGCCTGAGCCCTAGACCAGGGTCGGGAGGATTCTGGCCTTCGCCCCCTGGGCTCCCCGGGCCTGGCAGCTCCCAGCAGAGTCCCTCAGCCGTAATTAACCCGACAGCAATTGCACCAAAGTCGGCTCTTCAAAGGAAGCCCCACCCCCAGGGGCGAGAGTGAGAGCCTTGGGAGAGAAAGCGGGGAGGGGCGCTGACACTCTCGTGATAACACAAGCTGGGTGCTCAGCGCAGCAGGACGGAGCGCAGACCCCAGGAAACGTGGGGCTCAGGAGCCAGCCGACCCTTTGAACACCAGCCCGGCTTCCCTCGAGGACTGAGTCCTGTAGGGACCGGTCGGGGGGCGCCGCGGACAGAGGGGAAAAGGGGATGGAGAGGCCGGATCCCTTGAGCAGCCCCAAAGGACCCCAGGAGGACACCCTGGTCCAAAGAAAACAATTCCTTGAGATCCACTCCCGGGGCCCTGGTGGGTCTGAAAGTAAGGGCTTCAGCACAGTCTCGAGTAAAATGTGCAGATTCTGGAAGAGGGGGTCGGGGTGCCTTTAGCCAGTTAGATTAATTTAGCTTCGTAATGAGATTAAGGAGTTGTCACCTGGAGGTGTGGCCTGGCTGTTATTTGGGGCAGTGGGGGTGAGGGGGCTTTGGAAACAGCTGGGGTGAAGCGGGCGGGGCCACTTTTGGATCCCGGACTGCACGCTGAGGCCCAGCCCCGTGTCTCCTTCCAGACACCCCAGCCCTGGGCCGCAGCTTGAAGAGCGATGTGTCGTGGGCACTGAGGCCAGAGCACGGCAGAGGCCGGGGAGCGGGGGGG